AGAGAGCTGATGGTATGAGACAGAGAGCTGATGGTTTGAGACAGAGAGCTGATGGTATGAGACAGAGAGCTGATGGTTTGAGACAGAGAGCTGATGGTTTGAGACAGAGAGCTGACGGTTTGAGACAGAGAGAACTGATGGTATGAGACAGAGAGCTGAAAGTGTTGGACAGATAGCTGAAAGTGTTGGACAGATAGCTGATGGTTTGAGACAGAGAGCTGTTGGTATGAGACAGAGAGCTGATTGTGTTGGACAGATAGCTGATGGTTTAAGACCGAGAGCTGATGGTTTAAGACCGAGAGCTGATGGTTTAAGACCGAGAGCTGATGGTTTAAGACCGAGAGCTGATGGTTTAAGACCGAGAGATGATGGTTTGAGACAGAGAGCTGATGCTATGAGGCAGATAGCTGATGGTTTAAGACCGAGAGCTGATGGTTTAAGACAGATAGCTGATGGTTTAAGACCGAGAGGTGTACAGTTTGATTTTATCATGGGCAGCTATGATGAACGTTGGTCTAAGCAACTTGACTATCACCAATTGCCTTCATTCATGTTGGTTGATCTTCTTTCTTTTGGGTATAACTTCTGAAATCTGCATCAGTGATCAATTATAAGTGCCCATGAAATAGTTAAATTTCATCAACAATAGTGACATTACTGGCTTTCCCAAGAATTTCATTCACCCAAATTTCCCTCGCATAAAATAAATGCAGTGTCATCAAAGACAAATATAATTCTGTGGTTTTTCATGTGATGTTATTCCCTATGCTTACAGGGGACAAATAATTCCTAGATTGATTCGTTTTATCAGTTGTCTGGAAATAAATATAATATCCTATCAATTTTTACAAGTGAGAAATATGGTTACTTATGTTCAAGGCCTTCTTCAAAAAGGCCAATTGACCCAAGCTGAAGCATATATGTTCAGTGGCGAGGTCACTCATCGCTCAGTAGACCGGGTGAAGAATGATGAAGAGGACACGGTTCTTTTTGCCCAAATCCTGTCAGTGAAGAGACCGAAAACTGATGCAAGGAAATTGCTTTACAGCACGGGAGGTAGTATCTCCAAATATGATCTCCTTATTCTTTTCCGGTGAGTATCAAAACTTACTTTGGTATGGAATTCTTGCTTGTATATTTGAAAAATTAATTCATTCTGTTCTTATTGATTGATGTCTATTTTCATACAGCTATTATTATTGGAAATATTTTTGTTACATGTCCATTATATGTTATTGTAAGTTGTCATATTCATCAAAAACTTATTTCCATTATTATTTCAAAGGGAAATTATGCATGGTGGCTGTTTCTACATGATCTTCAAGACAAGCAATGAGACCCACAGAGCTCTGCTTCATTTAAGTCCTCCTTATCTTGGAAGAACAGTTGCTCTGTACGAGCCTACCCAAGCTGCGACCGTCCATAACATCAATGTCATAGAATGCAGCACTAGTCTGGTCCCCCTCACCTGCCAAATACAGAACATGAGGGTTACGGACTGGACTGAGCATCTTCCAGACCTGGAAGATGCTCAGCATGTCGGGACTTTCTTAGTGCAGCTCAATAGTATTAAAGTTAGCCGAGCATGTGCCATCAGTGCCTGCTCAAGCCGAGAGTGCGATTCTAACCACATGCCATACAAGCCTTGCCCATTCAATGGAAATGCATCGTCGTTTGCTCTCTGCATATCCCTGAATATTACACTTGATTGCAAGAGGTATGACTACTCAATTTATAACAATGTATTTAGCTTCACCAGCGAGAACCTTGCCAAAATTTTCGTGCACAAGGATTCCCTTAAGGTATGAGCAACCTAGTGTAACAGATGATTAATATTCTGCATCATTTTTGCTTGTGCCCGAATTTTATTTTTGGTAATTTTTTGGAATTGAATTAGCTGGAAGCACTTTTACTACTAAATTTCATACTTAATTCTATCATTACTCTGTTTCATTGTCATTCTGTTTATTCCAGTTTATCCATCTCTTTAAGTTATTCTGTTTTAAAAGGGTGTCTATATCTCAAAATTTAATTAATTTATTATTGATGCAGTTGAAAATGCTGGACGTGGATGAGCTGAGGCGTGCCGTGGCGCAGGTGGTGGCATACTACAAGGAACAGGGCGTGCCGTGGCTGTGTGCATGCTGGTTTAAGCGCTGCTATGAAGACGATGGTTCCCCTAGCTCCTATAGGAACCTCCACATCTCTTCCCTTTGGCCCAAAAGAGTGCTCGAGGACGCGCCTCTCTACCGCGAAACTCCTGAAAGCAACCTAGCTATTGAATATCCTATTCACGGTTAATTTACGGAAGCAACATCAAAGTTGAGTTGCCAGATCTCAAATGAAATGATTTGACGTCATTATTCAGGCTATTAAAGTCCATGGATGTCGGCGAGCCTTAGAATTACAGCTACAGCTGCCATTTACACGTTTACATTTATAGCCTAAACTTGTAATGTATGCTGAGCACAATAAATGCTCATATTAATTTTTTTTCCTTTGAATGCGTTAAATTTCATTCTAATTTTGTTCTACCGCATGTGGTCAGATCTGAGGATTGGAAATGTAGGTTATTAGCTTCATTGTTATGCTCACGCAAAACAGTGATTACAAATTGAGTTGCCATCGTTATTAAAATTTGGTCTAAATATAAAGGTAAAATACCTACTTCTGTATGACTTATCACCCAGCGAATGACAGCTTGTGTCGTTTGGGATCGAGACGTAAGTCACGATCATGTCGCTTTACATTGTATTTTGCACGCTTATATTTTTTTATTCCGTTTAGACAACAACGTGTAACTAATACATGCATTCGTTAATGTCTGAAGGATGCTCGATGTTAATAAAGCTCATCGCCTACGTTGCACCTACGATTTGACTTGATGCAGTATTTCAAAAGGGATTTAAGGAATTTTTATGCGAGTTGTATTAAGGGGGAGGTATACCCTAAATTTTTTGGATTTGGCATTTTTCGGTTTTAGTATCATCTTAAAGCTGACATTCTCCCCTATCCAACGATACCACTGCGATCTCTACGTGAATTTATACGTTCATGACGGCTCTTTAAAGGGGGGCGGGTGGGGGAGTTCCTTCACTAATTAGATACAAGGTAATAAGGTGCTGAGCATTTTAAATATAGTGTCTGATTGAGTTGCGCTTTAGTTACTCGTTTAGTCTCATCTTAAAGCTGACATTCTGAGCTATTCAACGGTACCACTGCCGTATGTGTACGTCAACATTAGCGTACACGACTTCTCTTTAAAGGGGGGCGGGGGGGGGAGTTCCTTCAGTAATTAGATGGGGCAAAATTGGCTGGCCAGCACTAGATATAAGGTGTTTTCTGGCATCAAGGCTTAGTCACCCGCCTCGCTTCGCACGGAGAGGTGTACTGCAAGTCGCTGCTACCATCCTTGAGTGGAAGAAAGTTACAGAAGCCTGTAGTTTGGTATCCATGCTACATTGAGTGCCTATTTCGAGGCGCGCGGGACTTTGTCGCGCTCTCCTGAAAGGTTTAAGGCTTGTAGTCAAAATGCAGCGAAGTCTGAGAGCGAGGTTTTCGCGACCATCGTGTAAAATCCTTGATCTGCCCAAAGCTCGGCCAGTCGCTACCCTCGAGCTTGTACTCTTTGTAATATGATATCCTAGCCAATATAACAAGGAAGCTGATCAAGGAATGCCGAATATACCATTCAATTGACAATAAAAATTACAACCCGTTTATATCTCGAAAAAAAGTGTAAAATTCGCAGACTTGATGAACAATAATATTCAAAGTTTCTTGAAATTTCCTCTCATTAAAACTTTTAATACAAAGTTTACATATTTTTTGTTACTGGTCGACGCTTATAAATAAATAGCTGGGTAAGTATGGAAAAATCCATATCGCCATCTCATTTGCGAGTGGAGTAAAGTCTATCCTAATTAGTGAAGAAACGCTTAGGGAAGAGCCGAGCCTGTTCGAAGCCTCTCGGCTTTCAATCAGGGCCTTAACTTATTGTCACGGAAAATCCTACTCCTAGAATTTTGAAGCTACAGCAATGAAACATATACCATTCGATTTTAGATTTGTGCATAGTTTGAATTCAAAATGGGGGGGAGGGGAATCTGAAAAAAATGGGAAAATACGTGTAAAAATAATTAAGGCAAAAATAAAAAATCGGGCTTCGTTACTCGATTGGTATGGTCTTTACGCATCGAATGATATGCGTTTCTATGTTGTAGCTTGAAAACCCTAGTAGGAGTAGGATTTCTACAGGACCCTTTTTTGTCCGTTTTCTATCAATTTTCCGAAAAAATCACATGAACAAAATGGGATTCTTTACGGTTTTACATATATGTGTGAAGTTTCAGAAAGATCAGTCCGTAAACAAAAAAAGTTTTTCCGGAGGGTCTACCTCCCCCTTAAAAACATTTCCATTAAGAATTGCTAAACGTGATAGTGACTTGAGAAGATCTGACGTGGAGGAGTCAAATTTTAAGTAACGGATTGACGTTAATGTGTACGGCAGGATGTCGAAATATGTGTCTTAGTCCCAAAATTAATGAAAATATGTTGGCATATTACGTAATAATTAATTTCGTTTTACTTGGGAGGAACTTCAGGGTAAAGTTTATTAATCTAGGGTAACTTATGGCTCTTATTGTTTACAAGTCAGCACTGGTAAATTGCAGTAGCTAGAAAATTTGCGAAGCTCCTGAGGGTGATGAACATTGAACAGCTGTGTACGTAGAATTGTTTTTTTTTTTCTTTAAAAGCATCGTTCTGCATCTTTGATTGCTCTACGCAAAATGGTTAGTGTATAATTGTCTTTGCTCTGGTATCTTACTGTTACTGAACTCAAGATGTTCTACTAAACTTCTGAAAAGTAAAAGCATCAAATCATCAATAATTCTCCAAATGAAGGCAACAGTTTCACTGTTTTCACAAACCTACAAGCTACAGTCTGAAGACTCAATTTGGGGAAAAGTTTAAAGGTTAGCTGTAGCGGTGTAGCCTACTCAGCCTAGACCTGGCATAAGCCATAACTGAATTTATAGGTTATAAATTAAAATTGATTATTTTTACACCTGAACACAGTCCATGGTAATGATGGTATGATCTATGATGATGGTCAGGACTCAGGAAGATGTGCCAGGCCCAGGTGCGTGGGAAACTGGGAATTTATAGGTATTGTCATTTTAACGACCTGCGCAGTGAGCCGTACTATGCCGGTAAAAAAATGCGCCGTGCTTGTAGAAAGCTAAAATCGTTTAAATATGGACGCGCGGTGCGGCCAGGATGGAATTCTAATATTGACGGTTCATATATTATTCCCGATACACCTACACCAGTTTTTCGATAGTACAACATTATTTGAGGCAAAAAAATGAACTTCTTTAGGCTTAAAACACATATGGGTAGGGTAAACGCGGTATATTCCGACACTTTAAGGACGCATCGAGAAATGAAAAACTATAAAAAAAACGTATGCGTTACGTAAGTTCTGTTGCCTTCACATGACTCTCAAAACACTTCACTACGCGTCAGCAGAGTGGAAATCTAAGATTAGAGGTTCACTTAAAAAAAAAGCGTTCCGCCTTGAAAAAAAAAACGTTCCAGGCAAGTGGCAACTAGAAACAGGTTTGCAGGTTGTCAGAAATCGGCCTCGGCATGAACGTTACGTCAGGCAACACAGAGAAAATTCCAATATTGTTAATTGTGCGCGTCACTCACGGATAAGCAAGAGAAATCTACTGAAAGACACGTTGTGCTCAGTAGAACACGTTGTGCTCAGTAGAAGTTACAAGGTCGCTACTGACACCAGTAGAAACTCATCACTCACAGTCACCGATACGCAAGGAAGATCTTGGGAAGGCTCCTTAAGCTTTGCGCCCCACATGAACGTTTCCGAGGTCGCCGGTAGAGATGCGTCACTCTCCGGTGAGCAAAGGATATCTTGAGGAGGCCTCACAACGTTGCAGCCAATAAAGGATGTACTCTTGATTCTGAAAAAAGTTCCATTAGATCTTGCCGATATACTTGAATGCAAAAGTCACCTATATACGAGTTGATTAAGAGCACTTGATGTATTAGTTGTTCAGAGTTTGACCAGTTGATTCAGAGCACACAAAATTATTTTCATTTCTGGTCATAATTAATTTACTCCTTACTTTTTTCATTATTTCTTAAAATCATACCTGAAACTGATTTGGAAGATATGCTAGCATCCGACTCCCAACCAGCTCAAACGAACGCGGATTCGATTGCATGCAATCTATTCCTTTGTATCATATTAGTTAAACTGCACATGAAGAAAAAAATTGTCAAAATTGGCATTGTTCTATTAAAGATACAGTACTTACACTCTTGTTGATAAAGCTTGCATTTTATAAAGAAAAATAAACGTGATCATTGAACATAAAAATTTTTGAATTCAAAGATCGTATCGAAACATCGTATAATAATTAGTGGAAGTAAAGGGCTGACTATCAGAACATTAGGTACATTAAAAAGCTAATTCTTTCATTTTATGCGATCCTCCTTAGCAAATACGGTAAACAATGCTAAACACGAATGCATATTACTTGAATTAAATAATGACTGCCGTTAGTGAGTAATGAATGGCAAAAAGAGTAATTGATAATAATATTATCAATAATAGCACACGATTGATACTGCATGCAATGCATGTATAACAATTACGACCGTTATTAAACCATTCTGTTGAATGTCAATTACTAAAAATTTACAATATAGAAGAATTGAAATATTTCTTTTCTTCACTGAGTATATTGATATCATATTGTTGGTATCTCTGTCACGTGTCACCTTCTATGTTATTGTTTCGGTACAGATGGTACTCCTGAATCCTGATTGCAAGTAGTTTTCAGGTCTCGATGCTGAAAACTATCATCAGTTTTTTATTTGTCGATGAATTCATAGGCAGTTTTTTATGTATTTGTGAGTGAATGTACAAAGTAAAGATGTTATTCTTTTAGATTTTCATAAATATTGACATAACTACATTATTGTTCTAGGCGCTTGAAATAAGAAATGTAGCATTACCTATTAAATTAGCACTAGTGCATTAACAATGTGTGCATTTGGGGCGGTCCATTCTAGCTTTCTAACGCTGTTTGGATTACAGTGGCAACTGGCAGTGACGTTGCACGCGTTCTGATGGTAATTGGATTCTTATGACTGGCGTTGCACACGTTCTAGCAATGATTATATTCATTTGACTGTGACGTTGGACGCGTTAAAGCATTGATTGGATTCTTCATATTCTTGTGACTGTTACGTTGGACGCGTTCAAGCGTTGATTGGATTCTTGTTACTGTGATGATGCAAGCACTGTTTTTTTTCAAAGAAACAGCTGTGGCATCTTGCAGAGACTCATCAGTGATGATGATGGAGTGAAAGTGGAAGTGTGCTGGACGTTCCAGATTTTTGGGTCCTGCTTTCCAATTTGCTATGTTTACCAGTTAATATATTACCCCTCTGGATTTCCACACTGCGCGTCAGCAACGATGAAACGTCACAAAATGTTGCCATATTTATTAAAAAGCCTTTAGAATGGAAACCTACCAAATCCCTATATTCCGTCACTTTGTGTGGCAACATCCGACACATGGTGAGTCGTATTGCATCAGTGCTTCAAATTTAACTGATACGTATTGCCGA